CCTAAGATAATTCCAAGCCCATTTCTTACCACATGTGTCCTAAAACCATCCCTATCCGGACTATGAGTTGCGCATCCAAGTACGCATGCACTTACATTGGCATTTACATCTAATTTAGTACATTACCTACTTTTATGTATGCTGCCTATGCTGCCTATTGCTTTTATTGTCACTGTTACTTATTATTATTAGTATTATTATCATTAATTTTTTTTCTAGCGAATTGTCCGCTTGCGCTTGCGTCGTCGGCTTTTCCCTCCCTGCAAAAGAAATACACACCCAGAAATAATACATCCACACGCCCCCCCACCATTGACCACTTTACACTCTTCCTAACTTACGAATGTTACACTTAGTAAATTCATAATTCCCCATCTTCTAGGTCCTCCCCCTACACCCTACACCCTACACTACTACACCTTACCTCATTTACAAACTTACTTACCCTATCTAATAATCCATATTCATCCATCCGTCCCTTCTCCCGCTTTTCCGCCTCGTTGCATATTCCTCATTGCTCATCGTCGTCTACTTCACATATTCCTCTACGCCTTTACACCTCTTCGCCAGAATCTTGTCGCCTCCTTTCCTCCCAGGCAGTCGACACTGGCCGATTCTGTCGTCCGCTCGTTTCTTTTACTGCGCAACGTCGAGGGGACACATATCTCTGTAGGATTACCTAAATAAGAAATAGACGAGGAGTATACGCTACGGTACGACGCATAGAGGCAACGACACACGAATGCAGCGATCGATGATTATGGGGGATTAATTAACTGTCCACGACCGATTTGTCTTGTTCGACGAAGCGGGCACCTTGCTAACCGGTGGCGATTGACTTTTCGGAGGGAGTGGCCGAGTCCACATCATCAGCAATCCTCCAGCTGACGAAGTCTATCGTCTCGTTCCGCGTAATCTCGAATCCGCCTAGTACTAGGCTCGAGTTTAATAACATCTTTAGCAAGCACTATCCCAACCGATAACCAGTCGGGCCATTTTGCAGGAATTCTACGCTATAGGATACCTTGCCGTCTCGACCTCGAACCGTTCTCCGGTTCAATTATTAGGCAGCAACATCATGGCTAGTCGTAGTGATGGCCCCGGCAGCGGCCAGGGCGATTATGGGGAGGATTGGGCTCGGGATCTGCGAATTCAATTCGAACAGCTGCTGAGAACAAAGCGATTAACCGAAATCGAGGAGTCGCGAGCGAATCGATCACGTCCGGACTCTCAAAATCCCCGAGAAAGAGCATCGTCATCAAACCTCCGAGTACCAGCGACGCCCTCCGGTAGTAGTAGTAATAGTAGACCTTCTTCTTCTTACGGCCCAAGCCATAGCCGCAGCTCTCCCGCGTTACCGCCTTCGTACTCTTCCTTGCGTAACCTACCCAAGATTCCGACTCCGCCATCACCGCACGACAAAGAGTCGCAGAAATTTCGTAGCCTGATGCTATCGCTGTCGCAGACGCCGACGAAGTATGAGAACCCCGGTCTACTCGATGAAGCGCTCCAGGCGATTCCTCTGGATAGGATATACGGCGAAGCCGAAGAGGAGTCTCAGGTATTGCAGGCGCAGGCGGAAAGCATGGGTGATGGTCGCAAGCCAGAATGGGGATACCAAGATTGCGTGATTCGAGCACTATTAAGGTGAGTCGGCCTCTTAACTCAATACCCCCAATGCTATTGAGAATTGAATCCCTAACCCGCTTCGATTGCAGATGGTTCAAGCGAACATTCTTTTCATGGGTCAATAACCCGCCGTGCCCCGTGTGCTTCTCGCCAACCGTCGCAAAGGGCATGACGCAACCGACGCCAGAGGAAAACGCATTTGGAGCATTGCGCGTAGAGCTGTACGAATGTTCCAACCAAGCATGCAGAGCATACGAGCGATTCCCGCGGTACAGCGACGTCTGGCGGCTATTGCAAACGAGACGAGGCCGATGCGGCGAGTGGGCTAACTGCTTCAGCATGCTGTGTCGAGCCGTCGGCGGCCGCGTGCGCTGGGTATGGAACGCTGAGGACCACGTGTGGACCGAGGTTTATTCGGAACATAAGCAGCGATGGATCCACGTCGACGCGTGCGAAGAAGCGTGGGATAACCCACGCCTCTATACTGAAGGTTGGGGTAAGCAGATGTCGTACTGCATTGCCTTCAGCGCCGACGGTGCAACCGATGTCACCCGCAGATACGTGCGCAAAAGTGAGCATGCGCTGGAGAGGAATAAGTGCCCCGAAGAGGTAATGCTCTACATCATGCAGGAAATCAAGACCATCCGGCGCGCCAACATGAGCAAGGAGGATCGATTCCGATTAGAGAAGGAAGATTCGAGAGAAGATCGCGAGCTTCGAGGCTACGTAGTCGCTTCGATCACGCAGGCAGTTACGCGCATGGTTCCCGGCCCATCGAGTTCTACATCTGGCTCTAGCTCTAGCTCTACAAGTCGGCCTCCCGTCTCTTCTTCTACTAGTGATGATCAAAAGCTGCCTGCTGAGCAGCCCACCCGACAGAGCGGTAATGCTGAATGGGTTGCTGCTCGCGGAGAGAACGGTCGGCGCAACCAACAATTCCAGGATCCGAGAGATCCACACCGAAGATAACGCGCTCTACGAAAATACTGATTTTATCATTACCAATCACTAACATCACGCATGCCGCCTAATAATTAGAGAAACCGAAATATATACCCCAACATTCAGCATCTAAAGCGGTTAAATTTACCTGGCTTTGCCCACCTAGAATATGATGACCGGCTATTTACCGACTCTCATTTGTCTAATATCACTTCTACCGCAGTCGAAGTACAGCTTACCCTGTATTTACCTGCGGCCTGTACCTATCTACGCATCCTACTATCACGACGCCCGAATATGTCGTTCTCATTTGTGGCCTGCATCGTCATAGGCATTCTGGAATAAAATCACCGGCGCAACGGACCTATTTGGGCTGGGTAGCATTATATACAAATTCTTTTTGCTTTTTGTTTTTATTTTTTATTTTTTACTCGGGGGGGAGAATGGTGGGGAGAACATGGGCTTCTCCTTGACCCGGCGTTCAGGTTATATAACTGCATGAATGGGCTGGACGGAAACGGGTTGACGAATGACAATGGTCACGCCCGGAGTTGGGGGTGGAAATCGTATGTACTATGAAAAGGGGCTGCGGAATCTGGCAAAGGACAAGTAGATGAAATCTGAGCGGGAGATGTCCTGCTGACTTTTTTCATCGGCTGAGTAGCCACATCGCAATTTGCATGTGTTGTTTAAAGCATCATCTTGGTCTAGAATAGAGACTCTGCCGCTGGTGCACTTTGATATTACATATGTCTGTGTTATTTGAGACTTGAGATGGTAATATTCAATTGATTGTCTACTTTATGTAACATAGTAACGTGTTACTAGTTACATGGTAAGTAGCTCTTGATCTCACGCTACTTTAGCCAAGATATACGTTCGAACATACATGTAAAACTTATAGTAAGCTAAGCTAATGCTACAGCTAATTACATAACCCCCTCCTTCGCGAAAATTCTTAGAAACGACCTCGTTTATGGTATCGTCTTTTATCTTTGTCTTTGTCTTCTTCTTCCTCACGATTTTTTCTATCTGCCAGCGTTTTTACTATATCACTAGGTATATTTACCTTAGGCAGTGCCGCCTTTGCTGGTGAAGGCTTGCCAGGCTTCTGTGCGTTTGTTTTCAGGTCTTTTAAAAAAGATTTTTGTGTCTGGCAGAGTTCGTCAAGGCTTTTCGTCAATTTGGTCAGTGTACCTGCCAGGATTGTGATCTGTTATCTCGCCTCTCTGTCATTTTCTTTTGCCGATTCCCGGTCTTTTGATAGTTCGGCATGTAAGCTAGTGGCCAAGACTTGTGTTCTTCAAACATCTAAGTCGGCGGGTTTGTAATACGAAGTAAAAGAGGACTCCGTCGCCAAGACTGGGCTGTGTAACACGGAAGTGTAACTAATTGCAACGCACCAATATGTTCGCTACTTGCTTCACCTCGAACCATCATTTGCAAGATGAGCATGTTCGTTATGATTTTGCCCTATCTTGCTATGCTTGAGAGCGACGTAGTTCGTATAAGAATGGAATATAGATCGTCGGTCGTAACGCTAGTATAGGATAAATAGAATTTTGTTATTCTGTGTTATTATAGCGGTGGCCATTTTTATCATCCTCATTCTTCTTAGCATCTCCATCCTTGAGAAAGCGCAGTTGCCATTAATGAATTGGCTGCGTTGTTTCTTCTAGGTGCCTGAAGCCTGACGTTTGAATGTATCGCGTATTTCTTGCAACACGTGCTTGTGAAGTCGTGTTTTCCAAGCTTTGCAGTATGCTCAGAAGTTGGTTATCAATAGGAAGTATCATCGCGATAGGCTCTGACTTATGGTCTTTTTTTTTTGTACTTAGACCGAGACGGTACCTCGGCTTTGGTGAAAGATGGTTGTTTGCGATAGGTGAGCTTATATATGTTTAGAAATATCCTCGTTTATGTTGAAGAAAACGAAGAGTTGGTATTAAATAAGGGAGGGAGGATTGGATGAAGTAATGTTGTGTGTTTGGTTTGGTTTGGTTAAGGTTAGGTAGGTAGGTAGCTGGTTATGAATTTGTAAAGTTGAAACCCCGTCGAAGAATTTAGTTCAAGAAGTACTTAAGGTTATACGTCACCGCCTTATAATGCCGCCTGCCATGGCAATGACCAGGTAAAAATATATACCTGAGGTAAGTACGTTAGGCATCTTGTACAGAAGGAAAGAATGTAACCTAAGCTCTTCCTTAGGTTAATAAATATACTTAGGTACCTCCTACATAACTAACGTACAATCGGCCTATTAGTATTAAACACTCACGATATTATTGGCTTTGGAATAAAAAGTTGAAAGTTATAAAGTACCTAACCTAAGGTAGTGATCGATATCCTATTCTAATAGTCTCCTAAATGCTATCTATGCGTGATAGATTACCTACCTAGGTACTTGACGAGACGTGGAAATAAACACATCAAGCCTTTTCCTCAGGCATAAACTCGAACCATATCAACTCGTTCAAGATATCTTGATAATCTATGCCCAATCTAATAGCTCGGCCACCCCCAAACACGAATTCGGCTTTGAGCAGTTCGTCGCCATCTTCATATATACTACATAGGCGAGCGGTATATTTTGTCTGATCTGATACGTGATCGAAAGTAATCGTAGATCTAAAAGAGCGGTCGGTAGCGTCGATGAAGAGCTTCTCGTCTTTAATTTGAACCGTAATAGTGTGGTATCCTGGGTTCCAGTACTTTCCCACATAAGCACTTAGAGGTGTTACCTGGGGCTGTACCTCGTCATCTTCCTTTTCCTTGTCCTCAGTACCATCATCTTCCTTATTGTCTCCTTTTTTATCCGAAGAAACATTCTTGGCAAGCTCTTCTTCCGGCACCTTCAGTATTGCGCTGAATAACTTTCGGCGCACAGCATTAGCAACATGTTCTGCCCCTAACGCATTTCCCATCATGACAGCTCCAAATCCTAGCTGGGGGAGGAAGAAAAAAAGGCTCGTGAACCCAGAGATCATCCCATCGTGACCCACAACCGTATATCCTCGGTAATAATATACTTCTATACCAGCTGCGTATATAATTGGAGATGTAAACGGTTCTAAATCTTGAGCATCTGGATTTGCTAGGCTGCGCAACCGCACGAGACCTTCATATACCTTCTTGTTGATAGGGCCTTCGTGGTAGAGTAGTGCTTTGGCCCATTTAATAAAGTCGTTCGCGCTGGTGATTATCGAACCAGCACCCTCTCCCTCTGGACAATCCGGGGGCGGGAACCCTTTATATGTAGACTTCTCCTCATTCCAACAGTATCCAGTGGCCATGCGGTCTGCGAGCCCCTTTGCTCGAGCTCTTGCGGGCTGGACGCTGGTTGATTTCATATCGAGTGGCTGGAAGAAGCGTTCTTCTAGAAAACTGGAGAAAGTTTGCTGAGTCTTTGCCTCGACTAAATATGCTGCTGCTGTATACATCATGTTACAGTATAAATATTTTACTCGCAGAGGGGCAGCCACAGGCAAATTCCGCAGATTCCTGGTCACGGATCGTGCATCATCTGGATGAGCTGCGTGCGGACCCATATAAGAATCGTCGTGCCTGGTTCTACGGTTATTATTTCCAAATATAGGTAATAAATTGAAAGATACGAAGCTCTTACCTGGGCATGCCAGATCTGTGGCTCAAGATGTCCTCTACAGTAACGCTCTCTGTGTATTCGGTACTGGGCATCAAGAAGTCATCCGGTAATAAGCGTGACATGATCGCTTCATACTGCACCTCGGGATACTTTTCATCGTCATCTATGAGTAATGCGACGGCTGCTGCAGTAAGCGATTTAGAAGACGACGCGATGTCAAAAAGCGTATCCGCTGTACATGGTTTCGATGATTCGACATCTGCATATCCATAACCAGCAGAAGCAACTTTGCCGTTGTGAACAATTGCAATAGAGAAACCAGGTACGTGATGCTCATCCATCAATTCCTTGATACTAGAAGAAAAAGCTTCGGAGTGGAAAACGTCCATGATGAGTGATATATGATAGTGATGATGAATTGTAGAGTATCTGTACTCAGGGGTAAGGCTTAGGTTCCTTAGGTAGTTGGGTGCGAGTCGATTGAGATTCACACAAAGCGACAATAGACAATATATAGGTAGATTGGGTATGCCTATACTGACCGTAGAATATTACGTGGTGGCTTAGAGCGTCGTTAAATCTCGCTAATGTTGAAACAATGGGTGCGGAGATGACATTGAATTACTCACACGGCCAACTATAATACCTCTCAAGCCATAATATAGAAATATCATAAGACGCAATAAGACATGCAGCTGCAATACGTAAGACTTTCTTTGGCGCCAAGAAACAATTATGTGTTGAGTTTGTCAGAAAGTAAGCCCAGTGTTGGAGCTAGACCTTGAGAGTCGTTACGTTGACTCATCGTGGCGTAGTTATAATAATGGATAACTATCCAATAAGGGGCAGGCAACTATACTATTTCGTGACAGGTACCTACATATTAATATTCAAATAAACTACCTAATCAATAGACAACTCTAGCACCTGACTCACAATACCATATTGACAAGCCACCCTCAAAGATTTAACTCCTGTAAATTTATTAAACCACCTACTAAATAAGAATTACAGCTTCATTAAGCGTTAATCCTCCCAAGTTCCCATATATTATGTCTTTATCTATACTCTATCAACAGAGGTATAATAACACTCACTGAACCCTAAAGAGTTTATAGTTCCACTGTGGTTTAATGAAATCTGTATCCCTGGAGTAGTATATATACCCGATGCCCACTCTCCTAGAAACACCATCCCTTGTAGTCAGACCCAATAAAATTGACTGTGTATCGGGCGGTTTGGTAATAGTATTGGCAGCAACAATGACGACAAGTTCGTCGATTACCTCAATTTCATTATCAAACCTGAACTGGCCTTGATGGGAAGATACCTTTAAAATCCAAGCATGTTCATCTTTCGCAGTTGTTATTTCAAACTGTCCTGCTTTCAAATAAGGCCCGACAAATCCAAGCTCGCCGTAGTTAAGATCAGGCGGCTGTGTGTTACGTGACCAGTCCAGCAATACGCCGATATCCATCCCAATGCGGCTGAGATAGTGTTTCGTGCGTCTGAATTCTTCGGGGGTCTTCATGGTTGCATAATCCTGGGTTTCGCAGATAGTCTTCCAGACATCTCTGGTCCAGAACTGCTTTTTAGAACCTCCGTAATACCAGCATATAATAGGAACGTAAATAGGCACTCGCTTGATAGGGGCTTGGGAAATGTTTCGAGATAACCAAAGGCTATCGGCAAAGGTAAACTCAACAGGACCGGTCCAATATACCCTATAACCGTATGATCAGCATTATAACATTGATTCCGACCGAATTTCGGTTAAATCGGACCAAGGAGGTCACATACCATGACCATGTTGAAAATCGATCAGCTTCCAGTTCGGATTGACATAGGCGCTTCTTAGGCTGGCCATAAGGAAACCAGAGGATTGACTGATATAATAAATGAGGAGGTATTCCTTGGGCTTGACGAATACTTAAACCCAAGGCATCTCTATGTCCGTTGAACCTATTAAATATGCCTTCAAACGCGTTAAGTATATCATGTGCATATGTGAGGTTCTTTCTGCTGTATTCCTGAACTGCTGTTTGAAAAGCCTGGATATCTAGTTTTGCACCTACACCCCCGAGATAATGGTATGGTGTTGGATCAAGATCCTTCCTGAGACTCCTCGTCCACCAAGGCGGTCCTGTCCTCACATCGATGTGGACGTGGGCATTCCTTTTTTGTGAATAGTCGTACCCTTCTCTCCACTGCGCTTCGCGACAGTTGAAAAAGACTTCCTCGGATGTGAAGTAAAGACAGCGCTGCGATAACGACTGTTCCTGGAAAACCCACCCTCGCGTATTCCAAGTCGCACTTCGCACTTCCTCGCATAGGGACCGTAAACAAGTTGAAATATTGAGAACGGATCCATCTGATGCGTCAATAATCTTCGCTGGCTTGAGAGGATGACCTGCCCGTGGACTAACCCCCCTTAACCCAGCATCCGCATCGCAGCCTGCCGCAGCGATTATGGTTACAGCAGCACAGTCGTAGACATCGTCCATGCGCCCTATCAATCGTGCTTTGTCTTCCAGGTCGTCCTGTACAATGCACAATGTGTCAACCCACAAGTATCTCATCCCCATCTGTCGAGTAAACTCCATAGCGTCGCGGATTGTCCGCGGTATCCTTCCGGTCTTCCGTGTCTCTGGCCTTAACTTGGATAATCCCATAGGAACACTCAGTTCTTTCACATTCTCTCGAAGACTAAGGAGGATTGGCACCTCTTGTTCGTTGTTGCCAGGGAATTGGAGAGTCGGGCGTTGACCCCAGACATAAGATAGTGCCACATAGTCGCATCTCGTATCCTTCTGCACTAGACACTCCTGATTGACATCGATGAGACGGAAGGGATGTTGAGACTGAAATAGATAACTGCTTCCTCGTTCAATGGCTAGCTTCGAATGCTCGTGATTCTGACATTCCTTCAACCAATTCTTTAGAAGCGCGATATTGAGCCGGGTTCCAACTTCTAGCCGAGGGAGGTAATTCGGTTCCGATTCGCTCGGGAAACGTTCGATCTCGGCGATTATAAATCGGTTTTTTACCCGATCTATTTGTCTGAGCGGAATTCTATTATTATGAAACTCTGGTGGCTTCTTATCAGTCGCGAGTAGCAACCTGGGTTGGGGATGGTGAATATGTCCGTTTTCCTTGACGGATAATGGACTTCGACTTTGGATGAAGAGCCGACATGAAACCTTAGCAGGATTTGAGTCAGTCCCCCATGCACGGTTGATAGCCCTAGAAACAAGAATACAGAACGGACAGCCAAGATCGTTATACTTGGAAGGGTTACCAATAGCCTGTTCTTGTGTTTCATTACCAAACCTCCTTTCCAGATCTAACTTCTCACAGATGCTGCACAGATAGTGCCTGGGCCGCTCTGGAATTTGCCATTTTGAACAAGAGTCTGCCATGATTCACTTAAATTTCTCGATTGCCGTATATATTTTATTCTTTGCTTTTATTTGAAAGGCAGAAGTGAACAACTGGTTTGTAAACCTGAATTCTACCATGAGGTAGTTTAGTCTCAAGCTCGCTCGGCTTATATGGGGAAATATGGACGATGAGAAGTAGCAAGTCTGTTGATTGGCTAGTGCTTCAAGGTGCGGAGAGTTTAGGCCATAGATCTGCCCCAAGTAGGTACATAATTATTTAAACACGAGCATGCCGAATTTTTTCCCCTTAGCTCGTAAAGACTATAACATTGGTCCATATGATAGGACTCAGAGGGGTGATATACCAGTATACTTAAAATTTTGAGGCAGCCAATAATACTCATATTTTGTAGTAGAGCCTGCTTCCTAGTAGTCCAATGAGGAGTCAAGAGGATGCTCTCTTCCCTGTCGATTTCCTTATTAGCTTGTAATTCATGAGCTGAGATGACGTGGCTATCAATAATTACCTCCTTTGCTCATTACTGCAACCAATCCTAATTGTCCGCATCCAAATGTATAGAAATTTGAGTGTTGTCTCAGAGCAACCTTCCTATTAAAGACATGGATTAGGCATATTAGACGCCTGTTATATGTATAAGGCAGTTTCTAAGAGCATTATATCGAAACTACTATCGTAGAGATAGTAATCTCCAGACACACAAATGTGCTGCCTCTCAGCACTTGCTCATATGATGCTTTGGATCGCATCAGATTGTCCCAACAGCGCACCAGCCGGCGCGGATATATCGATGAGTCTTCTTCCGAGAACATCTGAGTGCAGTTTCGTGCCTTCGACGCCGTCTTCTCATTTTATGTCGTACCTTGCCAATCATCCTCGAACCCCAACGCGCGAACTCTTACAGCCGTATCTAGCATACGAAGCTCAGCTGTGAGAATTGTTTGCAAAGCATGATCTTCAGGTTCACGATCTAGCGTACTTAGTGGCCGGGTTACCTGCGCTCCCCCCCTTCTTTCTTAACGCAGAGGCATGTATATTGAGTATGATCACGCAATAGAGAATCCACTCAAAACCCATTCCCAGTATTGTAGTACATTGGTCTATGCCACTATCACCATTACCTTTACATTTTCGTAAGTATATTTTTTTGAAGTTATAGTAACAGGTATACTTGCTGATAAGACTCCCTTTAAATAAATTAAAAACGTGGCTTCTACTTATATATGTAAATATACTAACAAAGGTCAGGTCATGCTTGCAAAGTCTACGTTGGCAAGTGTTATAAGGGGAAGTTATGATGGTATAAGTGCATATATAAGATTTGACCCAAGTAGAGGTATAAGAATCTTAACGATACAACATCACTTTACCTACCATTCCACAGGCTCCCTAAAGCGTAGAAAGTAGCAATGCAATACTATTTATAATGAAAGAGATAACATGTAAATGAAAACTCTATATCACCCAGAAATATGTGATCGTGGCCCATCAAATCCCGGTTGATGTTGCCCCTATTTCACTCATGAATTGGTTGTACGCCGTCTCGGAAACTCACGTCTGCCAGACTGCTCTCGAGGGTGGCTATCTCTGCCTCTAGCTATTATTTTACCAGCTGGGAAGGATTTAAGTAAATGACTGTTTAATTGCCTAGGTGCACAGGCCTGTTATTGTGACAGGTCAAGTTAAGGATGGCTTTATACACATCAAGCTAGTCAACTTCAACAGATTGTCGTGATGCGTATTCCCTACGAAAGACTGCTATACATTGCTGAAAGGTCCCTTCGCGTGGTGATTGAGAAATCTGATGCCAAAATCTAAAAAAAGCAAACCAGCTTAGGGTAAGTAGGACAAGGGAAAGCTGTCCCAGAAAATAACAGGCCTCCAGCTCGATTCTACTACCGTTACCATGTAAGGTTCCGATTTAGAAATTGGCTAAACCATTTCTAGAGAAAGGGATAATGAAACATCCTCTAGTTTTAGGGAGTCTTGTTCGATATTAAAGTATTAAATAATAGATTGTTACGGAACCATGAAAGCAAAATCTATATAATTAATGGAACAATAGATAGTTAAAATAAAACGGTTTCTTTGAGAAAACATAAGTACGGGAACCAAAGCGCTACTCTTAAGGATCTGCTTTATTACCCGTGTTTATAAAGCAAAAATTGATAGCTCATAATTTAAATCACTAGCGAACATATTGAACTTCCTTTTACAACCAATCAACAAATATCCGAACGGAAAGGAAAGGAGAATATAGTGAAGATGACGTATGTATTGCCTTGCGATTATGTGTGCTATCTTCCCCACGGCGTCACGTAGAGGAGTCGCTAACTTGTATTTAGTCTACACGCCGGAGATACTGCTCAAGCGGAAACTCTTCTGAGAACGTACTTCTCACGCGACCCAGAACAACGCTTCGAACTCGAAGGAGCGATCGGGGCCGGAATGAGCGGAGTAGCATGGAAAGTGAAGTATAAGGAACGAGTACAAGGGCAAACACAAACAAGGCGTTTAGTCCTGAAGGTAGACCGCCCTCAAGAGCCGCTGTCTCAAAGCAATGCCGAAGCAGATACACCTATGCCTAACGTCGATGTCTTTGGCGACTTTAGCGACCTTGAAGACGACTTTGACGCCGACCTCGACGACGGCCTCGACGACTTCGACAACGGTAGCAACAACGGTAGCAACAACGGCAACAACAGCGGCAGCAACGACGGCAACGACGGCGGCAACGACGACGGCAACAACGAAGATGAATATGAAGCCAATGACGGCAATCAGAATAATAACGATAGTCAGGATAATAACGACAGTCAAGATGATAACGACAGTCAAGATAATAATGACAGTCAGAATAATAACGAAAATGAGGGCATTGACTACAATGACGAGATAGACGGCCGGATTCCGTATACTTTTGACCCCTCCGCTCATCATCTCGTGAACGAGCGCAATGGTCTTAAGGTTTGTTACAATTATTTCCAGTTCAGTCACTACATGATAGTAGCTCACATGATTATAGATGATGCAAAAGGCCAGGCACATTGTAAACCTTATAGAACCACCTCACGACCCTCTTGCTACAAGATTCGAAGGTATCGGTCCCCACGGCCTCGAGGGGTGGATTTTTATCGAATACTTAGAAAAGTAAGTATCTGGAATATCCCGGCATCGTGAGATATTAATTCTACATTATTAAGGTTTCCCTCCGAAGAGAAATAACTAATCAAATATTCTACACTAGTGGGACCTTGCGCGATTTTGTAACGAATGTTTCCGAAATATTAGACGAGCCGCTCCCGAATAGATTGCTATGGAGGTTATTCATGTGCTGTAAGTTAAGCCACTGACGCGTTATTATGTACCTATATATACAGACTAATGATTATTACCGCAGTAATACGCGCATGTATTGCCATGGCATACCCACCACATATAGGGCCAAACGGGGCCGTAACCGAACATGTCAGACCGGGTCGTCGTCCTAGGAAGACAGAGCACGGCGATATGCACGATGAGAATGGTATGTTCTATCCGAAAAGTTTTTATATCCCTGATGCTAATGTATACCTACCTCTTAACCAGTCATGTTTGGTCCTCTAATACCAGATGGCGGCATCGAGCATGCCCTAACTCCAGTTATGAAGCTAATCGACTTTGGAAATATGTCTGATTTTCCAGATGACGAGTAAGTTAACTGTTCTCATAAGTCTACGTTTTCGATGTCAAACTTGAAAATATCTAACCGATGCTTAGTGCCAATGCTTGGAGAGGAGAAGCACAAAATATATTTGCGATAGGAGTTGTAAGTTACTCGTGCTTTGTCTTCCCCTCGCTTTTTCTTGCTATTACCTAGAATATAGTCTAATCAGATGACAGCTCATGTGTCTACTAATATCACTAGATAGCGACGAGATAGCGGCTGTAGTGGATGGTGGTCATGACTTGTATGACGGGTTCCTCCCGGTGGGAAATAACCTGCCACCAATCAAAGTGGCCGCGGGATTTATGTGTCCAGGTGATCCAGACAATAAAGACTTCAGCCATATAGACCCAGTCTTGCTCAGTTCGGTATTGGCTTGCACGGCGATCAACCCAGCGGACCGACCTAGACTGGCAGCTCTCGAGCACCTGGCTTACCGGGCTATACATGAGCGAACTCAACAAGCATATGCTCAAGCTGGCTTCGCAGCGGCCGCGGCTGAGAGCGATGATAACATTCGACAAATCATTCAGGATATGATATTTAATGCTAGAACCTAGAACATCTTGCGTGGCCGAGAGATACTTTTCGTATTATCTTCCCGGGTCATATTTGTTCATTTGGGCAGGTTCGAAGAAACCCCAGACCTGTATATTAGATAGGTAGTCAACTACTTGAAAATAGTTGATCGGACATTAATAATCTTAAAATAGCTGATAATATATTTATCTATAATCATTGCTTCTAGAAAGCCCGTTGCTGTTTTTTTTTTAAGATAACTAGTGGTAATAGTTGTGGACTCATCATCTTACTAACATGATACTTGTACTTTAAAATTTGAGTACTTACACAACTATTTCAGGAATGATATAAGTACAAGATATTATATTGACAAAGTTGGACAAAGCTGAGAAGGAGAAATATAAAGGTGGTAGGTAGTGAAAGGAGAAAAAGGGGAGAGCTTAAAAGATACGTACCTTTATTGGCGGGGCAGATCTAGATGCATGGTTACGAACTACATCCTAACCTAACACGAACTAAAAATGCTCTAGCTGTCTAAGTACCTGGCGATAAGGCGATAAGAAAAAAAAAAGTTAACGCAAAGAAATCTTAATGGCCAAACTCTTAACTGCATTAACCATTAACCGTCTTCTCTTCATACATCGCGCTTGGTGGTTTAGAGGAAACGACGGATCAATTAGCATCGCCAAATCGCGATAATGGATATTCATCGTTGTCGCTTTGTACCATATCCTCCCTCCGCTATTAATGCTGTCGCATTCTCTTACCCGACCGTCACTAAATCCCAGAGAGGCGCACCTGTCCGCTTAGCGATCGGTCGTGCGAACGGCGACATTGAGATATGGAATCCCTTAAACGGAATATGGCATCATGAAACCACTCTACATGGAGGAAAGGATAGAAGCATCGATGGTCTCGTCTGGGTTACCGAGCCTGACCAGCTCCTCCAAGATGGTACCAAGCTCGTCGGAAAGTCGAGGCTGTTTAGCATTGGCTACACAAGCACCGTCACCGAATGGGATTTGGAAAAGGGACAGCCGAGGAAGCAGGCAAGCGGTATGCACGGCGATATATGGTGCTTAGCGGCTCAACCCTTCGTCGCTCCCGCCAAGCACGGCGAAAAGTCTGCCAACGGTGTCGTCCAGAGCGGGAAGAAGCTAGTGGCTGGGACCATGGATGGAAGCCTCGTCCTCTACTCAATCGACGAAGATGATCTTAGATTCGACAGGATATTAGTAAGATCGTCCTCGAAGAAGACCAAGATGGTCAGTATAGCCTTTCAGAACCGCAACGTAGTGGTGGTGGGGTGCTCGGACAGCGCTATCCGAGTCTATGATATGCGCAATGGTAGCGTATTGAGGAAGATGACGCTGGGGTCGGACCTTTCCGGTGGTGCCAAGGAAATCATTGTCTGGTCCGTCAAGTGTCTCAATGGGCGCGACATTGTCTCGGGCGACTCGACCGGTCAAGTCTGCATATGGGACGGGAAGACGTACACCCAAGCGCAACGGCTGCAGACTCATAAACAAGACGTATTGTCTTTGGCGATTAGTGCCGATGGTTCGACGATCGTTAGTGGTGGGATGGACCGTCGAACCGTACTCTACAGAAAGACCTCAGGCGCGACAGCAAGGTGGAGTAGGGTCTGGCATAGGAGATACCACAATCACGACGTCAAAACGATGGCATCATTCGAAGGGAATGGACTGAGCGTCGTTGTTTCGGGAGGTTTGTATATACATCCTATTTGAGTCCATCGTCGTTGCTAATTAGCTTAGGACCGGATGCCAGCCCGATCGTGCTACCCCTACGAGAAGCCGGTATGGAGAATCATCGGACTCTGTCACATCTACCCCAGAGTCCGCCGTTGCAGAGCGCGCCGAAGAGTAGGCTAATAGTTAGCTGGTGGGAGAGAGAGGTTCACGTCTGGCGGTTGAGGAGACCGCTACGAGATCTAGTAGATGCGCCGGAGGGGGAGTCTGCCGTGGACAAGAATCGGAAGCTGCTAGCGCGCATCTTAGTTAAGGGCGAAGCGAACATTACATCCGCGGCGATTAGTTCTGATGGCTCCCTTTTGATAGTCTCAACAACATCCGATATCAAAGCGTTCCATTTAAAGCCTCGAAGCGAGTCCAAAAAGGACGAGCTTAAAATTACTAAGCTTGAGCTACAAGAGGATTTCTCTAAACAAGGCGCAACTAAAATCCAGGTATCTCCGGATGGGCGGTGGCTGTGCTCTGTTCAAGGCGGCAGTAAAATTACCGTTTCGTCGATCCTGCGCGATTCCGCAGCAGACGGTAGGCCATCGCTTCATTCTAAAGCGATTCGCTTACAACGCATCGAGCGGAAGATACAGAAGCATGTAGCTCTAGGCGGGCTAGGACAATACGATAGAACGGTTACTCACATTGCCTTCTCTCCGGATAGCAAGATGTTGGCCGTTGCAGACCTCGCCGGTTATATAGACACCTGGGTGCTGGATGGGACACGACCGAAGCTTGAGAACGGCGTTAACGGGATTCACAACGATGAGGTCTCATCCGGTAGTGAGGACGAGGAAGAGCCTGCAGTCGGCGCGGAAGGCCCGCGATGGACCCGTAACCCAAAGGGGTCTCTTATCCCTAAGCTGCAGGCCGCCCCTACCGTTCTATCTTACTCCGATCACGTTCCAGTCTCATCCCCTTCTATATCAGACGACAACGACACTACAGACGATTATATACTTCTTACTATCACGGCTAAACCACAAATACTTGTAATTAATCCCACTCTCGGCTCCCTAACACCCTGGTCCAGACGAAATCCGATTACGCGCTTTCCGGCCGAGTTTCGAAATATCCGCGATCTTGTGAAGGGAGCTCTCTGGTCGGGCGAAAGGGTATGGCTTTACGGCAACACATTTCTCTTTATGCTTGATTTATCTCAGGATCTAGATGAGCCCGCTCTGACCCACGAATCGCCTAACGGAGAAGTCGTGAAGCAAGGAACGAAGCGGAAGAGGGGACCTGACAGCGGTGCCGGTAGCAGGACGGGAATTGGAGCCGCTGGGCCTACGAAGATCATCCACAGGGTCGACGGCGAAGTCGAAGAAATCCCTCTCGACGGGCCCGCGTCCGATCCTATGGACGAAGATGAAGTTAGTCAGCCAGGAGAAGAAGAGAGCGAGAGCGATGATTCTGATGACGAAAATCAAGGCGAGCTAGCGCTTTTACGCGGTGTCCAAGGGAAGTCGGTCTCCGAGTCGCAACCGGGCAATAGCTTAGCTTTCTGGCGTACGTATAAATATAGGCCGATCTTAGGGATAGTGCCTCTTGGCGAAGGAGAGGGACCATCCGTACATGGAGCAGATGATGAGGCGACGCGGCCAGAAGCTCGAAAGATTCTTGAAGTGGCGTTAGTAGAGAGACCGCTGTGGGATGTCGATATGCCCGATAGGTACTTTGGAGACGGGGAGTGGGAGAAGTAAAGTTTTGTACGTAGGTAGTTTCTGAGTTCACTATAGTGACACTGGTTAAGTGTCGATGTGAGGATAGATTAATGGAGAACTGTGGTCTATTCTCTCGTTTCCCTCTTTCTGACTTGTTGGGTATAATAAACTCGGGAATTTCGAGTACATTATTTGATCTTGACGTAAGCCCATCGTGAATATCTCGACTATTTGGTTTTTTTTCCGTCCTCTTCTATTCTACCTACATCCAAATCTCCTTGATTATTCCCTTTTCTACAGAAGGACGACCCTTTACTCACCCCTTTCTCGCTCTATACAGGCTAGTTCGTTCTTCCAGGACTTTTATCGTAGCCATCACCTCTTCCACTTGAGCCCCCAGTGTCCCAATCCTTGTCTGAGCAAGTATTTTTGAATTATAGTCTCGCCCTTACCCCACCCCTAGCTAGAAGGCGTCCGCGGCTGACACTAGCTTTGACAGCCCCTATAACCTAACCTAGGCAGTACCTAAGTAGCATTTATCATCTAAGGTAATTCCGCTAGAAGGGTGAGCGTTGGAGACATCAACCGATTAGATAAGGCTTTATTACGGGATCATGAAACAACTTCCCGAAACTAGATTGTACGACAGATCTATGTAAGTTAGATACTTTCTATAACTACAAAAAAAATATATTGGATAGAAAAAAAGAAAAAAGGCCAAATAGGTACCAAGTATATTACCTAATGCAGGTACCTTGTGGCTAGCCTTCCCTTGTACCAAGCTCGTGTGACCTAAAGATAGAGTTTGGTTGGCTGGAAACTTGCTCAGTCAATCTGCAGGTAGCCTCTAGTTCAATGTTCTTGTAAAGGCAATGGAAGTTGAGGATGTACCACATCGGAAATTGGTTTACATATGACATTTAGATTTACGAATAGAGGCAACGTAGTACATATCTGGACCCTAAAATCACATGTGATATAATTAAGATATGTAGTCAAGGTACATGAATATATTTAATATTGGATGTGAATATATATGGTAGGTACCTAGGTATGTATGGTACAAGTGTAAGTACAAGGTACATGACTGGTATATACATCTTGATGTTCTAGATCGCGTGTTGAGCTGATTATTCCACGAGGCGATAACGCTCCTGCCAGTCTATTTAATACATTTAGCAGTAGGTAGTTACCTTGATGCAGATGGGAACCCAGTGGCTTAGGTCCTGCCTTCCTTAGACAAGAATTCTAACAAATTCTAAGTCATAATTGAATATTTCCACTTGCATCACCGCCTTCACTCTCTTACCTTCTTTTCACACTCTCTTCCACTCCCCTTCTCAACTCCTAACAACTTTGCCTACATCCAATCGAAGTATACCCTTCTGTTGACATCGACACTCGTGTAACTCGTCGCCATCATGATGTTCGTCGTATTGATCACCTTCGTCCTTGCGCTTGCCCACAAAGCATCCGCCCATTTCAAGATCAACTACCCGACCTGGCGTAGTGACACCTTCAATGAAGCTCTCAACTACTCCCAGTGGACGTATCCTTGTATGTATCCATCGTCTAACGACATTACCATATCCTCTTCAAATATTTGCTTAAAGCTAATGATTCGATACATAGGCGGCGGCGTTCCCGATGGTGTCGGCAACCGAACCGAGTGGCCCATCACCGATGGTGCTGTCCAACTCACCCTACATCATCCCTGGACCTATCTCTTCGTCAACGTTGGCCTTGGCTCTTCTGTCACTAACTTTAACATGTCCTTCACGCCTGACCTGATGAACGTCACTGGCCAAGGCGGATTCTGTCTTCCGTCGCTCTCCGTTCCCATGAAGGTCAGCGACGGCACTAATGCCACCATTCAAGTTGTTACCAGTGGTGATTCTGGTTCTGCTTTGTATAACGTAAGTAGTATATATAGGCACGTTAACGTGACGTGCTTGCGAATTTAAAGTATGACCTCAAGCTAATGACGCTCCAGTGTGCTGACATCGTCTTTCGATCTTCTGCAAAAGTTCCGGCTGGCGTGTGCAAGAACGACACGGGCATGTCAGCCGTCATCGTTGGCCATTCGTCGGCTGCAGCCTCTAATTCATCAGCCACAGCGGCTTGCCCGTCCTCCACTTCTGCCCATAATTCGGCGACGGGAATAGCCGTAGAAGGAATTGTACTAGCAGTTATGCTCGGTCTAGCCGGTGTCTTTGCTACCGGTGCAGTCTGATGAAAGGGGATATTTGCCTTCTGAGAGAAAGTGGTAGTTAGACGAGATGCAACAACGAACTTGTGCAAAATCGTATTGGCCATATAAATATGTCAAACACCCCTGGGCGTGAAGCTTGAAGGATGGGTATGGCTACACCGATGTAATGTCACATTAGTTTGCAAGTTGCGCGAATGCGATGGCACCAATAAAAGGGATATGTGTTGCAACTTACTGTCTTGGTTTAATCTAAGGTGATGGGTGCAATAGCAGTCGACGTCTAGCTCGTCGCTACGACTGCTAGCACTGGAAAGTAGAGCGCTTCAAACCGCTAAATTAATCCCAATTCGTTGCAACGGTTTGCTACGACGTATACATTTCTATCGAACAGAGCCAACACCTGTAAAAACGTTTTCCAGGCCGGACCTAATCTCGTCAAATCATACGGTACCATAATCAGTAGAGATATGAAATTGAAGCCCTCTAGTAGCACCGACCCTTCTATTCGAAATTTCCTTTAAGATATGTCGGGTTTAAGTAGCGTAGAGATAAATAGCATCTAGGAGCGACATCGGGCAGTTGTGACGAAGCTTTGGGTAAAGCAAAATTATGATCGAAATGAGATCGTGATGGATCGGATCAAACTGACTTGTGACAGGCGGGCGAAAGGGCTTGCTCTACTAATTTGATTCGCTTGCTTATTCATCCATGCGTATGCTCCTCGCTCACTTATTTGAGGCTGCATTCTCCTTTAGTAACTCGCTTATCACCACCTCCATAGTGATGCGTTGGTTCGGGTTAGGTGTTAACATCTGCCGAACTAAATACTCGACGCGGTCCCGTTGGTTTAGGCGAGTCTTAGCCTCGTTGACCTCGCTGAGCCACTGCTGCATCTGATGAACGGCCGATGTAGCTCTGTTACCTGCATGACCGTGGTTATGTGGTAAAGGAGGGGCTTTCCTGTTTAGATCTGCGATCATCCAGTATAACTGCTTCGGGTGACCTTGTCGCCCTCGGGCATCTGGGAAGGGAATTTTGCGTAGAACGTATAACATGGTGACACCAAGAGCCCATACGTCGGATTCGGGACCACGTAGCTTTTGACCGATAAACTCGGGGGGTACGTAGTAGGGGGTACCGCCGTTGGTGGCCGGATCGATAGTGCGAGTCGACAAGCCAAAGTCGCAGAGAACGGCGCCGCGATCGCGCGAGTACAAAATGTTAGCTGGCTTGATATCGTTGTGGATCTTGCGCTTCTGGTGTACGTAATGCAGAGCGCCAGCAATGTCGCGCAGGATGCGCACAGCATCGTGGCGGCCGCCGACGAACAGATCAGTGGCCCCGTCCCGCCATACGCCGCGGGCTGCGAGATCCTTGCCATCCACGTGCTCCATGTATAGCGACAAGTACCGCGCGTCGCCACCATATAGCCGTACAATAGATTCATGACGCAGGTCCTCCTGACTCTGATACTCGCGCAGCCAAATATCCGCCTGGCGGATCACGTTCCGGTGCGTCTCCTGCGGCCGAGCATCAGAGGCATTAGGATTGCGAGTCTTGAGCACCTTAACCGTGATGACTCCCTCCGAAACGTGAGAGTGCTCCGCGGTAAACACTGCCGAGGCACCCGTCGTGGCGATCTGCTCGCGCTTCGTCAATTGGTATTCGTCGAGCTCACATCCGCCAGGTATAGAAGCTGTCTCGTCCTTCTGGATCTCCAGAAGAGCGTGGCCGTTGGGTATGGCGACCTCTTTCGTCTTGGCCGCGTTGGGAAGAGGGAACATGAGCTGCTTATCCTCCGGGCCCATGAATATGATGACGCCGTCTTTCTCTTCACCATCTTCCTTACGAGCCTTCTTCTCGGCGACTGGGCTGTCTGGCTCGTCGTCACTAGCATCAGGCAGGAAGGACCGTTTCCCAAAAGAGTTCACGACGTCTAAGCTCGAGATTACGGACGAGTCAGCGCCGTCATAAGGGAGTAGACGTGTGGCAGGTCGCTTCTCAAGTATCCTAAAGTCAAGGACCGGAATTGTGTAGACGCTGATTCGCCAGGTGCCTGGAGACAGGTCCTTAGTATTACCCGGGACGAGCTCCTGGTCAGAGTTTACGCCGGCGGGGGGACTTAGTTGGGATATCCTAGCGAGGACGATAGGCACATCCGACTTGTTCCACAAAATTAAGCTATCGCTGACCGGATTATAGTACAGCTCGCACCATATCGGCGGCCTGTTCTCATTATCGCCTTGCGGTATTCTAATGGAGAAGTTGATATCTTTGGAGGTCTGAGTCACCGCGAGCACTTTGGACATAGGCTGGGAAGGGTCAGCCACCTCGGCTCGCAAGGCCAACCACTGTATGTTGTCGTTTCCGGGGCTCACTGAGCGGTTCCGTGTCAATGGCCGTACCAAGATACGGATGCCTTGCTTATGATGGTCTTCCTCGACGACTAGGTCGTCCAGTGGTACGGTATCTTGGTGCGCATCTTCGACCTCGTCGACTTGGATGCCTCCGAGGAGTCTTTGTTGGAGCTCTTCCGGAGTAAACGGCTCCGTCTTCTCCTCGGAGGGGAAGACTTCCGCCATCGCGAGACTTTGAAAAGGAATACGCGGTATAGAAAAGAAAAGGAAATGTTTGAGCTTAAATTTAGGTAAATACAATGGCATAGGCGTGGACTGTTGCTTGGCTCACTTGCGGTTGGATATTGTCGAAGAAAATAAGAAAAATAAAACTCCCGGGAGAAATTGGGCAACTCAACACAGGCGCTTCGACGACCAGCTTCTCTGGACACTTAGAGTAAACTGGAGAGGGGGTCTCTGCATTCTCGAAGAGAGAACCGTCAGGTGAACTGTCCTCAAGACCGGATTCACTCAGTCAAAACTACCTCAAGTAAGCCCTGGTAGAGAGTCATAATAATGTCACTTTCAAGAAAGCTTTGGAGAGAAATGAGATGCTGTGCGGCTGATCCCGCCCTTTTGCTCTGGGGGCTTTAGGGACAGATCGGCTGCCTAGGGTCAGTCAACCTACCTAGGTTATCTTCCTAATCACGGAACTATACCTGGCTGGGAAGAGATGTCCTATTATTAATGCCCCTGCTACGAGATGCTAGTTCGCGGTAAGGCGTCCGCCTTATATAATAAGGCAAATAGCATCGAGTCAGGACAGTGGGGGCCATATCAGATTAGGTAGCTTACCAACTCATATAAGAGTAGAGGTACCCGGGGAGGAATAAACTTCTTGTATGTTACGGATTTCTAGGGCTGAGTGTTCGACATGCTCTTGACTGTGACACCGTATAAGGTACAGTGGAGATGACGGTCGCGGCCCGCTGCGTGAACAGTTCCAAGTGACTATGTATAGGAGTCACGGAATCGACACTGTCTCATTAGCCTGTTAGGGGGATTGAGGGGTGTGGGTGGCTTAGATCTGTCAAGTGATTCGATAACAGGCACCGAAGGCGGCGAGAACGGAGAGAACGGAGAATTGAGAGAAGGCAGGGGGATTTATCGGCATCCTTTTTGCCCCCAACTCTTAAACGTTCTAAATGACACCATAGTGGCTGGGCGGCTGGGTAAGCTGAGCCATCATTCCACCGCCAACCAACGGATATAGCCTGCTTCAAACTGGAAGTATCACTTTGTATTTGGCAGTCAGGCAGTCAGGCAAGTATGTACAGACCTCTTTTGCCTGTTGTGCTCATCGCTTTTGAGATTTCATACCGCTATCGTTTGAGCGGTGCATCTGCTTCAATCCAAGAGATATAGAGAATGAACTATAACCTCGAAATCTATTTTTGAAAGAGTCTTAAGAGAAACAGTTGCGAGTATAATATAGAGGATCGATCCTGACACCTCGTGTTAGAAGCGTTGGAAGCCTTTCGCTTTTTACCGCTGTTACATTTTTGCATTTTGCATTTGCGTGCTTATTGAAGAGACTAGGTAGGCAAAACCAAAATGGAAAGAGATAACTGGTATAAAAAAAAAAGGATCGGAAAAGAAGGAAGAAGGTGTGGTCCGTGTGTAGCACATGTGTGGGTCCGTGAGGTAAGATACTCCACTTAGCTATCTGTATATAATGGTTGATTGGCCAAATGTAAATAGAGTAAAACATAAACTTCTTCTGATTGGCTTTTCATCACGGCGATGTAGCCAATGTTGTCCGGGCGCGGTGTCCTTGTGGCCCCTAACGGCACATAATTAGCACTTTAGCTTGATGCCTGAGGCAATTAAGGCACCTAACTTGGAGATATGGTACCAAGCGAGTTCCCACTTTGTCCTTCTCATCGTCGCCCAGCAGCTACGATTTCAACAAAGACACAGTGGATTAACCAAAGGCACGCAACAGTGAATATTTCTACACCACGACAAAGCCCATCGATACCGCTAGAAATACTTCCTTTGGTGCAAAACAATCCCGAAACGTCAAATAAGACAATATTTAGTTTTTTTCTTCAAAATGGATTCCACACCTTGTGTTTAAATGGCTTCATTCACTTCTAGCAGCCTTTGTATCGTGACCCAATTCAATAATATTGTACTTATACCAACTTTTACCATTTCTTTTCTAACCCATCAGTAACCACCCTAATACCACCCGATACCGACTCCTTATACCACCTAGAATACCGCCCACAGCATAACATCTACCCGGTCGAATTAAAACCCGACTCTTGATACCCATTTCCTTATTGGGACTCGAGGTTGACGAGATAACGCACGCTCCGCCAGAGGATGGACGATCCCGGATGGTCATGGCCTGCCTGGAAGTTTGGGATGAAGAGGGACGAACTCTTCACCGGACTTCATGATCGATACAACACAATCGCCTTCTCTATTCAGGATCCCGAGGCCTTCCACCATGATGTTTACGAAATTTCCAATACCGCAAGCACAGTCGATGAGTTCCACCGCATGCTAGCTGACCGCAAGCAACTTCGGCTGAACGAGCTGAACCAGAGCCTAGAGTCCGCCTCTGTCGAGATCATCGCTAACCCGAGCCTTATCGGTACTCAACAGTGGCAATACGCTCTACAGCTTTTCCGCACCAAATCGCTGGACTCCCTTGTAAGATACTTCGCGTCTTATCTTCCAGATGATCATCCCTGGCATCAATCCGCCGACGATCCAACATCGAAACCATTCTTCGACGATCTGGAGGACGATGTTCCTGTCATGACGCATGAACCCCTCACTATTGATACTAGTTCTTGTATTCCGGCTAGCCATCTTCCTCCTTCGCCCCGATCTCTTACGATGTGTTCGGATGATTCTGCGGTGTCAACCCCAGCGCGAACATTATCATTCTCAGAACCTGAAACGGACGCGATGGTGCTATCGGGAACCCTGTCCCGCGGCTTCGACGACGAGGAAACATCACAGTCGGACGAACCTGATACGCCAATCACTTCTGTGTCCGATATGTCGGATATAGAGTCCCTGGAATCTCAGCCAGAGGAGGAGGAGGAGGAGGAGGAGGGTATCGCGGATGAGAGCAAGCCAGTATCTTTAGAACGTGATGCCCAGGAGAACGATAAGAACGATAAGAACGAATCAGAGACGCCAACCCCCCGAACCGAATTTCACTCGGATTCATACATAAGTAGTGAGGCTGTAAAGACAGTATCATCTAAACATAGCCCACTTCGTAGAGATGTTCGAGATAGAAGTCCAGGTCTAGCAAGATCGCGACGGAGGAGTCCAGAAATTGGACGGGTTCAAAAACCCTTACCAGACCCCACAAGAGTCAGACCTAAGGGTCGAAGACGTTATCTGGGCAGTTGATGCTGCCACGAAACTGTATATATCCTTATGATGCCGTTGTACATACCCATTAACGCGTTAAGTTATTTCTTCGCTATCGTGTTCTCTCCTAGTCGAGATTTCTTTTTGAGGATATGGTGAATGCTTCGAGAGTATTTTGAGTGCTAACTTTATCAACTTACACAATAACATCTCCGACAACGGGATTTGACGTGTAGGTATAAATAACATAGAACTACTGACATGCTAGTGTCTTAATAATAAGGTATCTCGTTCCATCCTCTGATTGCTAATGAATCTTAAAGTTAGGAACAGGTGATCAGGTCATACTTTATTGAAACGGATTTGTTACCATAGGTACCTACCTACCTATAGCTACCTAATGATACTATTCGCGGATACCTATAGCAAGTAAATATCATTTACTACCTACTAAGCCTTGAGCGTGTAAGTGCCTATTTTCCCATGCTGTTTATTCTAAAATTTTCTAGTTCTAGGGAGTGCTAGGTCCTACAGACATTAAAAGTTTTCACTTCTCAAATGCTTATCTGTAGCTGGTAGGAGGTAAATAAGGGGGCATGGTGAGGTCATCGACTTCGATATATATGCAATCACGAATCATGAGTTGTAAGAACAAGACATGCCAGGTGTATGATAGTTTACCAACCTAGATAATATCTAATTTTCTCACCTTTGTCAATATTATCGTTACTTCGTTATCGGGGTCTATATCAACAAAAATATTTCATTATTATTATTCCAAACATAAAGCTCCTAGAGTAGGGGAAATTATTTAATCCAAGGCTGCGTGTGTACAACATATTTCTACTTGAATAATACGCAACGCGATATGCCTGAGACGCTACGGGAGAAAGCAACCAAAAAGTTACAAGGCCCCGACGCCAACCCAAGCCAGCTCGGTGACCCCATCAGCATTAAAGCAGAGCAAAGTGATACTATACCGACTAAGCAGGAAGAGGGTGCTATTAATGCTTCGGAGTTACCCTCTCGTGATTCCAAACAGAGCAGCAAAAATAGCATGGGGAACGGGAACAGAGACAGAGAGACACTGAGAGAGAAAGCAGTGAGAAAGCTCCAAGGACCTGATGCCAATCCGAGTCAGCTAGGCGACCCGATCAGTCTCAAGGCCGAGACAAGCGACTATATTCCTACTGATGGGGAAGAGGGGGCTCGCAAGAAAGATTCGAAGCTGTGAATATTGGTCCATCTTATAATGGCATATTAGACGTCACATATGATTCTATAAAAATAAAATAAAATATCTAATAAGACGAAGACTTATCGTGGTTCGTATTAGTAAATACCAATGCGATGATGTGGTAAGCAAGCCTATTTTATTACCTAACACCTTAGCTGCTTACAATTGAAGCTTTGGAATCATTTCAATAATTTATATGTAGTCCAGCAAGATTTGTCATAGGTTAAACCTAACCAAACTACGCGCATAGGTAAGAAGTGCAAAAGCTGCAATAATATGGCGTAATAGTAGTACAAGTGCGTCATCCTTCACTCACACCATGCTTAAGCCGAGCAGTCGGGGTTTCAACCGCCGTTCCGGGACATACAATAGATACCTATGCTAGGTACATATCAAAATGAAATCGGAAAAGTCTCCTATTATTCTATTCTCCTATTTAACAGGCTAGATACCCACCAGTTCGGTATCATTTCAGAAAACAATCAACCTAATCATTATTGACATTTCAGAAACATGTCTCAACCTGTAAGCTTCTGCTATCCAATATCAACTCCGATTGCTATATATGAAGCTAACCATAAAAATAAAGACCCAAATCGAATACCAAAAGGATGGTCACTTTACCAGACCTGATAGCACATTCCGCGATTTCATCTCTGCAGACCCTAACTCAAAATTCCCTGCAGAAAAAGGTCGCTATGTGTTATATATTTCCGGCGGCTGTCCGTGGGTATGTGAAGTTGGCGTCTAAGTTAATATCAACCTGGTCATTGCTAACGTAGCCCCTAAATTACAAGGCGCATCGCACCAACATCCTGCGCTCCTTAAAGCGCCTTGAAGATATTATTGACTTATATTACCTGAGCTCATCCATGAGCGACAAGGGTTGGTGGTTCGACGGCTCGAATGGCAGTCCATCGAAAGACCCTTTATACGGCTTTACGTATCTACGAGAACTGTACTTTAAAGTAGACCCCAGCTTCAACAGCAGGTTTACCGTACCAGTCCTATGGGACAAGAAGACCGAAACTATCGTCAACAACGAGTCTAGCGAGATTATACGCATGTTATACACTGCGTTTGACGCTTTGATCCCCGAGGAGTTCCGGGAGGTTAATAAGCCTGGAGGCGGCCTTTACCCGGAACACTTGCGCAAGGAGATCGATGAGATCAACGAATGGGTCTACAACACGGTCAACAACGGCGTGTACAAGAGCGGATTCGCTACTAAGCAGGAATCCTACGAGGAGAATGTGTACCCCTTATTCAAGTCGCTCGACCGTCTTGAGGGCATCTTGGCCGGTCACGGCAAGCCCTTCATACTCGGGGACCAGCTCACCGAAGCCGATGTACGTCTATACCCAACGATAGTACGATTCGACGTCGCGTATTACACCGTGTTTCTATGTAATCTCAAGAGTATCCGACACGATTATCCGCACCTAAACAAGTGGCTGCGCCGACTTTACTGGGACGAGGGCAGCAAAGTAACTGATGGTGCTTTTCACAAGACTAGCGCCCCGTGGATTAACTTGTATGCTCAAGGATATGCGACCGCGAGGCCAAGGGTCGCTAAGATCGAGGGTCCTATCATAATTCCTCGGGGCCCGGCAGTGCCTGTCGAGCCCTTGGCCGAGAATGAGAAGATATGGTGATCATACCATGCATTTGAGCTAAAGCTATGAAGTACCAAGGCTCGGATTAAGGCCAACAGTTGGGCCGCGCGTCTGAATGATATTCATGTCATTTTTCGTTTCACTTATCAACGAAAACTCAAATTGAAATACAACGCTTTAGATGGAGAAGGGGGAGGTATCCCACTCTAGGTAGAAATAGCCATTCAAGCGTACTTTAAGTAATTCCCTCCTAGTATAGCGAGGCTAGTTAATTTCACTTGTTCTCATTCTTGGATATTTTAATGAAGATATTATCTATGTCCGTACACCAGTGTCTAGAAGTCTATCAATAACTTGACAACCACGTACAACTAGTTGACAAAACATGTAACCCAGTCGACTTCATCTCACATGGATGATAAAATGTAGTTATCCTGAGCTTTGGGTCTGCCAACCTCCTTCAGCTTGGAAAATCTCTCCGACAGCCTTGGAAACCGCAAGTAGATGTCTATCATGATATCTCGGCGCAACCAACGACAGACCAATCGGCATTCCATTCCCGCCTTTAAACCCGGGAATGTTCACTACCGGCACATGAAGAGCCTAAAGATAAAGTGAGCAATAGCCAACATATCGCTTAGAAATAATGGCTTACCGTCCATATCTTATTAAATGCCGGGCTTCCAGTAAACTCTATGCCCACAGGCGCCTCGTCGACCACGCTCGGTGTAAGAATAGCAGCATACTTACCAGCTATCGCATCAATCCTAGGCCTTAGAGCGGCTACTCCGTCGAAAGCTTCAAGCTGGGTGGTCCGTGATATCTTACTTTTATTCTCAACATGGTCAACCAGGAGGGACGCTAACTTCTCTTTAGCCAGCCGATACTCCGGCAAGAATGTTGCTCTCGCATCGGCGTCAAGTATTACGCCGTGCCACTCAGGCATCCTGTCGAATTCTGTTGGCAGCTCGATCTCCTCGACCTCTGCTCCATGATCTCGCAGTAGCTTTGCGCCGGCTTCTAACGCTGTAATTGTGCCAGGTCCCGCCTGGGGCCACACTGTTGTTTTCAAAAGCGCGAATTTAGACCCCTTAATTGAGAAGTCGTCTTGTGTAGGCGTATCGTCTTCAAGCGCGAATATGTCGGCTAGTAGCTGGAGATCTTCCACGCTCCGCGCAAAGAAGCCAACTGTGTCGAGATTGAGCGAGTATATTTTCACACCCTCGCGACTGACGGCGTTCCACGTCGGTTTAAAGGCAAAGATTCCGTTGAATGAGCCCGGGCGAATTGTACTCCCGCCTGTTTGAGACCCTAGTGCGATAGGCGCTTGGAAATCAGCCACTGCTGCCGCAGACCCAGAGGATGATCCGCCTGGGGTCCGCGTTGCGTCGTGGGGGTTCCGTGTTTTTGGCCCAACTGCGGTGGATGCAAACTCTGTTGTAGTAGTCTTGCCTATATTAACCAATTAATACTTGAGCGCATTGCTCTTTAGAAACGTATCAAAATTTTACCTAGTATTAAGGCGCCGGCTTGGCGCAGCGTTGCGACAGCCGCCGCATCGACATTCGGTCCATCTCCCTCGTAGATCGGGGAGTTATGTTGCGTTGGCATGTCTACAAGGAATTAATGACCGCATATTGGTAGTGAGGAAGAGTAGAGCAACGTCTCGTATACATGATATCTTTCACCGCAACGGCGATACCATGCAAAGGCCCCTGGCGTTCAGAGGGTAGGGCATCAAGCCACTTTGCCTGCTGGATTACATATTCCGGGTTGATATATGCCCAGGCCTTGACAGCATCGTCTCTCTTTTCGATTCGTGCTAGTAGCGATCGAGCATATTCTTCTACTTTTATTAAGCCATCTTTAAATTTCGTAAGCGCTTGAGTTGCCGTAAGCTGATAGAGCTCCATTATCGTTTTATCAAAGTCTTTTGGGAATCGCGCTATGTCTTCAGGGGCTTTCTAGCTGTTGAAAATACGGCGATTCTTCTCTGTAGCTCCTATTTATTGTCGCAGGTTTATGTATATCAGACTAATGATTTATAATTGCCATTTAATAACTGAAATTTAGTATATTATCTAAGACAAGTGTTGGCTTCTCCGTCCAGCCGGGATCGGAGTCCACGGCATCACTGGGTCGGGGTAGGTAGTCCCCCGCTTATAGTCAGATAGGACCGGATCTATCCGGGAACGCGTATAAAAATATTCCCGACTAGATTAGGTATCTAAGAAGTAGCGAAGATATATTAGGAACAATGAAGATTCGACGTCGTCCGCTATTATGTATTATGATATCTAAAATATGGACCATGGTTTACATTTCTTTCATCAGATAGGATTACGATAGTAGCATATGGGGATAACCCGAGAGTGATTGAGCCTCCCTCGTAACTTTAACAGATTCATGTAATATGATTGGATATACTAATTATTGGAGATAGAAGGCATTTAATTGTGCTGAGATTTAAATTTGGCTGTGAGCAGTGATATGACGATAATGACTACCTAAGGTTTCATACTTCGTCTCAAAACCAGACCTCGTCTTCCGGATGAAGAGGGGGAACGAGGGCCCGTTTAGTACATAATTCTTGATGAAGATGAAAAGGGGGGTAATGACTGAAACGCCATATGATGCTTATAGGGAGAGTTTAAAATGTATCATTGTTAAAATAAATAGTAGAAAACTATGGAGTATATTTTATACCTTAATCAAACACTTATACGAGTCGATACTCATGATTTTATCATCTTTTAGAGACTTTAATTTTGGACATTTCAGCCAAGAAGTAGAGAATATGCAAACGGTGGCGCCTTGATCAACCACATACACCACCAGGCATGACCGAACTCAACAACTTCCTTTCTCTCTTGTACAACGACTCATCACGACACCTGTGGCCTGCCGCTCTCAGGTATGGGTTTCAGGAAGGATTCCTTACGTAGATTATCATATTACCCATAATAATGGTTAAAATGGGAAATATGACATTTTATAAAATAATAATTATTTTTAAAAGAATCATTCCTGGGAAAAGAATGATTCCTTAGAACTGAAGGCTCTAGTTAATTGGTTGAAATAAGTGGGATTTGGGTCATGTGACCCCAAAAAACCTTAAAAATCAAAAAAGCTAGGATGCCTGGGACTCGAACCCCAGGCTCCTAGCCCCACCAAAGCGGGAGTGTTTTGATTGAGCTAGCAGCTCTAGTGGGTGGCCAGTCCACTAGTGCTGAAAGATTGCCCGTTTTTGAACCTTATTACCCACACTTTCAATTTTTTAATATTACAATATTATTTTATCCAATCAAGATTCTGATTCCCGTACAAGAAAAGATATCCGATACAAGAATCATTCCACCCCCCAAATATCATATCTCAAAACCACATTTTGCCGGTATGGTATACTTAGAAGAAGAAATATAAAACTCCACGATAAAAGTAAATTACTATTATTATTTCCTACCAAGCTACCTCAGGCACCTAAAAATATCTTCCCGTTATCCCTCTCCTTCTCAGGAAAGTTCAAGTCCCATACGTAGGTACTTTCCCTAGCAACGGTAAACAACACGATGCACGGGTACTAACATGCGTGTAAGTAAGTTACATACAGGTAGGTACCTAAGGTACCTCTGTAAGAGGGGTTACATGGACCTGACTGGTGTTTACCTCAGGTACAAATTTGACATGTCATTTCCATCCAGGTAAATTTATAAACCTTTTCAAACACAATACCAAACGCAACAACAAACTACACGCACAGAAGCTACAGCAAGATTTTGATCTTCACATCTGCAAAGATGGATTCCACTATGCGTCAGTGTGCTTCCTGCAGCCGCAATCTGCCTCGATCGTCCTACTCAACCAACCAGTTCTCCAAGGGTCCCGGCATGTCGCGATGCGCGGGTTGCGTTCATGGGCACCATGTCGATACTCCGTTGACTAGTGGTTTTGATAGCGGCAGATACAACAACTCTGACAAGGCCAGCTTACCAATTCATGAGCTCGACAACCCCTTTGCTCATGGCGCGTTCCGGTGGGTAGCTAAGGGAAGCTACACTTCGGGCTCTCGCAATGGTCAGGCATGCGTCGTCAAATGGTTTAAAACCGGCGCCGTCTTCGAGGAAGACTACTTCACTCTTGACATCAAAGCTGTCAACAAGGCTCTAGAGATTGTCAATAAATTCAATCAGCTTAACGTAGTCAACAAATCCGTCAAGATCAACGTACCCTCTGTATGGGCATTCACTCGTGACGCAAGCGCACACTGGGCGGGACAACGTGTCCTATGTGAACCATTCATCCAGAACTATCAAAAGTTCAACAGCAACACCGGATGGAGCGACGAGTCGGAGGCGTGGGGAGAGGTCATGCAGGCTCTCAGTCACTTCAGCTACCACATTTCAAGCGGCCAGTTCGTCCTATGCGACCTCCAGGGTGGCATCTACCAGAACGAGGTTGTCCTCTCTGACCCCGTCATCTTGTCGCGAAACCGCGACTATGGCGTGACTGATCTTGGCCCTGATGGCATCAGCTCGTTCTTCAGCCAACATCACTGTAACAACTACTGTCGCTCGAACTGGGCGCAGCCCATGAACCCAGTTCAAATCTTTCGCCCAGTCCCCGGTACAACCATGATGAGACGCACTGTACCTACGCGTCACTCCCGACCCATGGAAACCTTTTATGAATTATGACTATGGCGGATAAAGTGGTTTCGGTGTGTGGGTGCCGGCGTTGGTGTTCGCAATACCGCATAGATATTGTCCATTGTCCATGGTTGAGGAAACGGCTGTAATTAGGGATGGTCTCGGCGTCAATAAAGGCAAATACTTTATAATGACCCCTAATAACATATATTCTCCCCTTCCTCAAGACTTCGTAGTAGCTCCACCGGAGATCTGTCTTGTGTACTTTTCTTTCTAAGGGGAATCTTTCTCGGCGCATAATGTGACTTCTACTCGATATAATGCTACGAGCTATTGCAGATGTTGAGGCTCTAGGTTCGTCTGTATCAGTCTTATCGATCGGCTGATATCGTCTCGCCATTTTGATGATGCTAAAGTATTGTCATACCGGGCCCCATCTACGCGAGCTGAAATAAAATTTGGGATAGGTCGTGATGAAACAAACGACAGTAGATTGACGAAACAGATAAGTAAACGATACTTGAATATCATGATGCTAGGAAGTAGTTGAAAAAGGTAACCAGATTATGTAAAAGTTTAGTTGTCGTTTAAAGAATAAAACACCAAGTGAAATAAAAAAAACTGTATATAAATTCGCGTGTAGCCTATTTATTGTAAAGTTGAAAAGGAAATGTACTTGTCATAAGCACCATGACTAAGACAAATAATAAACACAAACAACAAAGAATATACGTAGCCTGTGCCGCATCCTCCAGGTAATGACCTGCTGACATATTTCATCACTGTCTTACGGATGATGCTCGCTATTGGTGGCGCATGATTGGGGGATTGTCTTGCTATAAGTCCAGAGCGGAACGTGAGCGAAAAAGTAAGACAATTCTATTCCGTACATAAGATATAGTCCTGTACCTATCTTTAAATGTGAGTTTCCTATGGTTCTAATGAGTGCCGATACCAGATGTACGTAGTAAAATCTATTAGTGAATATCATAAAATATGAATTGATTCAGACTTCGTGAGACTTCTGGAAGCGTTAGTTTCCATATTTAATTGTCACCATACTGTTGTGACGTCATTAGCCTTGATTCCGGTAAAGATATCACTCCGAGAAATAAAGCCCACAATTTTGAGTGATCCTATGAAGCGAGAGGAACTGGGGATTCAATACCTTGCCGGTGAACTAAACGAGCCGAAGACCGAAATAAGAAGCTTCAAAACCACAATTTTTTAACAAACTCAATCATTCTTAGAAATAATCGTCTAGTTTTACTATTGTATATACATATTTGATTAATAACTAATGGCTGTTATTGAAATTCAAGTCGTCTTCGACTTCCTTTGCGCGGTACGTACGAAGTACATCACATATAAGTCACGAACCTTTTTGGGTGCTATTGATCGACAAAGTACCTCTAGAGATCTTGCATTAGACTAACACTAAGGATTAGTGGTGCTACATAGGTAAGCGCAACCTCGACCGCGCCATTTCACTATATCAGAAGACGTACCCCGGGGGTAGATCGGATACTTTCGCTATAACATGGTCGCCCTACTATCTCGAATACAACAAGGCACCGTATAGCGTTGACAAAACGGAGCTTGCCGAAACGCGTCTTGCGCACTTAACACCTAAGCAGCGCGCGGCGCTTACGCTGCATATGAACCGGGCCGGCCGCGCTGCCGGGATCAATTTCATGTGGGGCGGTAGGATCGGCCCCGATACACGGGAAGCCCATCGGCTCGTCCGGCTAGGCTCCACTAAAAGCAGCGAAATACGCGATGCAATTGTCGAAGGCCTTTTAGATGCATATCAAGCGCGCGAACAGGATATCTCGGAACGCGGGGTTTTAAGAGCTGTCGCAGTAAAGGCTGGCATAGATGGCGCCGAGGTAGATGCGTGGCTGGATTCCGACGCTGATGCGGATGTGGTGGACGAGGAGGCTAGGAAAAATAAGGAGATCTTTGGAGAGGAGGGTGTTCCGGCATTTGTCATCCAAGGAGTGAATCGGCTTAATGGTGCGCAAGATCCTCTAGACCTGGTTGAGGTCTTCATCAAGGTTAGAGAGGGGCAGTGACTGGCGGATAATTGAAGGGTTGGGGTAGCCGATTATACTTGTATACTAGATTTTATTCGAAGTGTGATAAATATGCTTGATTATTTAATTTACATGTTAATTTAGACATTAATTCAATGCCTAATGCTATTCAATACTAAATAAAGATGCAAATCTACCTCATAGTAACATGACTTGAGTGCTATCTCCACGAATACTAGAGTATGAGAAAGGACACTCAATGTTTGAATTAATTTGGATATTGTAATATAGAAGATATTGCTCCGTAGGTAGTTGATACTTGGCGTGATACAGCTAAGTAAAGACAGCTCACTGATATCTTAGACACTAATTCCCTATATCGCGGGGTGTCAACTTCGCCTTCAGCTAGACGAAACGTTCCTATTATGACGTGAGTTTCTCCTTAATTCTTAGAGTAACTAAGTTTACGTCTACTGTTATCACGAGTCTTGCCAGGTATTTGTGGCTTAGGTAAATAATTGCGTCGTGGATTACCCTTTTTAATCTGATTCACAATATCTTATGGAAACTTCTCAACACATACTCGTTAATTACCCCTTTATAAAAAGCGGTCGTACAATAGACATTTACCTCCTGCTCTGCCCATTACAATAATCTTTAAGACGACGTGTCTATCGACTATTATAGACTTATCTATCTCAACCGTTCTCTCGCCTACTGCACTCCCAAAACCAGCGTATTTATCTCTACCATGGCCTCTTCTAGTTTTATCCGCTACACATCTGAAGAGCTGCTCTATATCTGCCATCGCCATACATCAAACTCTGGATATGTTCCTACTATATTTCTCTGGCATGAAGTTGATTGGCATGGGCTTCTTTGCAAACCCGTAACTAGATGCTGGCTTGCGGCCCGGGAGCGAGAGATTACGTATGACTTAGAAGGCTATCTTGAAAAGCGCAACGACTGGATAGTTATTCTTGAACTTCCCCAGGGTGACAATATCACCATCGAACTGAAACAGGCTGATGCTTGTGGCAATACCATTACCATTTGCCGAAAAGGGGCACCTATTCGCATGGCGGAGAGGGGTCATGACGAGCTTGAGCTTCTCGAAGGTTATGCCTGCAGTTTTAGGAATGAGGTCGATACATATACTAGGGCTGAGGACTGGTTAGATCAGTTGGAGAGGTCCGGCGTAACTCGATATCAACTCCAGCAAGGTCGAGGTAAGGATATAATCTGTATCTTGCTATAAAATAAGCTAGTTATCCAGAATATAACACTAATTATTTTACGAATATATAGGCCGCCGTTACTGGGTTGACGCTGTACTTCGCCAGTTTTATAGGTTCCATAAAGGAGGTCTCCCCAGCCTCGATGAAACCGAGATGGTACACGTCTGGGAGTCTGGCCACGAGGTAGAGGTGCCAAGAAGCGCTCGGTCTATCGTGGCTGGCCAATTTCTCTCCACGAAGTGGCCGAAGAACTCTCATCTCTATCAAGCCCACTCTCTTCTGAGCTCGGCCGAAGGCCTCTCTAGCTCTCTGCCTGACCCAACGTTGGGACCCTGGCGATTTCAAGGAACCAAGTTTGATATGCAATCTTGGTTTAAGAAAGATGACCAGAATTTGCAATCCGGGTCTGCCCAATCGAATACGCCATCTGAGTCTCAACCCCGACCGGAGCACCACATGAGAGATTGGCGAAGAGAGGGACCTGGTGGTACTCCGTCTTGGTATGTATTTCCGGAAACCTGGTATTAATGGAAAGTTTCCGAGTCACGGATAATCATTTTTAGTGTGTAGGTAAATAGGTACCTGCCTACCTATATACTAGTATGAGTGAATATGAGATATCTACAGACTACTTGACCTGTCCGACTTGGAAGCGTCACGAGACATGTAAACTATGATAGTTTATTCTATCTACTTATAAATTTACTTCCTTTAGCGGTGACCTAAGATGTAACTCGGATATCAGATTGGGTGGTTATATTCCCGGGTAAATGTAAAAAGCAAGGATGGCATCAAAGCTCTAATACCGGCCGTACGGGACGGTTGCCGCCTATTTATTCCACGAGGTACTCCACTGCAAGGCACTCCGCACACTATTAATCTCTCTAACTATGGCGAGTCTAGCGCTCTGCGGGGAACTCTGGCGCATTTGCGAATTCCCCCATCTTGGGACTTTTCATCACATTTCTCCAAATTATCCGCCAACCGACTTCCACCATTTTGACCTTCTCTACCTCTCCAAACCTGGATCCTCAACCCCAATGCGGAGTATTATTTACATATGCTATAGCCAGTTCAGGCACCTTCGTACTTGGCAATCAATACGATCTTAGGTAGTATCCCCGTTATGAATGCCGTTACTACGTAAAAATTATGCGAACAAGCTTAGCGGAACCGAGATGTCTTTTCCGCCTTCACGATGGTTCGGCTGTGGGTCGGGGCAGTTCGCTCTAATCCTGCCGAGACCAAACAGCTAGGAATCATATATATTTGTTCTATGATCCGCTATATGGTTGTGATCTTTCTGTGCGCTCATGAGATACTAGGTGTACTTGGGGTGTTTGTATACTCTTGACTTAGTGTTGCCTGTTCCCCAGGGCAGATCTCTCTAAAAACGGGTTAAATAGCCATATTCTGTCATGCGCTTACAATCCCTGAGATGTCAATTGCTGTCCGTAGTGGCTGGGTTCGCGCCCTTCATTAACGCCCTCGGACAGCAACAGATAATCAGCTTCACGAGTAACGAGGGTGCCTTTCAAGTAGCTGGAGGGCCGATTTCCCAGCCTCAGATCCTGGTTTCAAACAATGAATATTGGGGAGTCATTCGTGCTGCGGGCGATCTCGCTAAGGACTTTGGTCGAGTGACGGGAACTAACTTCACATTAAGCAACGGGGAATCTGGTGCTGAACCGGCATCATACGAATACAGGCCAATCACACGGAATTACACACATGTAAGTAAACCTCAGAACTCCTTATTATACGAAATATGCGATCGGTCGAAAGCTTAGTGGTTTTTGAACTTAAATATCTCTGCCCTATGAGCATTTGCGTAATGATGGATGTGGAATCTTCCTAGCGATCACCTATTGACATATATGGCCCAGTATGCGGTTAATGATACACAATACTTCCGCGGTCCCGAATATGCCGATCCGTCGGCTGAAAGCACTGTCATAATTGCTGGCACACTGGGACATTCCAAAGTGATTGACGACTTGGTTAGTGCTGGGAAGTTGAACGTCTCGGATATAGAAGGAAAGTGGGAATCATTCACGACTAAAATTATCGAAGATCCAGTTGCCGGATGCTCAAAGGCAGTTGTTATAGCAGGTAGCGACCCTCGTGGAACAATCTTCGGCATATACGACATTAGCGAGCAGATCGGCGTGAGCCCATGGTATTGGTGGGCTGATGTCCCCATCAAGCAGTCAAAGGAAATATATGTCCTACCAGATGACAAAGTCCAGAAGTCTCCTTCGGTCAAGTATCGTGGCTTTTTCATCAATGATGAGCAGCCTGGATTATCAGGGTGGGTTCAATGGAACTACCCCGACACACCCTATGGAGTTGGTTACAATGCCGACTTTTACTCGAACGTATACGAGCTTCTTCTTAGACTACGGGCGAACTACCTATGGCCTGCCCTCTGGGGTACCATGTTCGAGATTGATGACCCGGCGAATCAGCCACTGGCTGACGCGTGGGAGATCGTGCTCGGGAGCTCGCATACGGAGCCGATGATGCGCGCACAAAATGAATTCGGCACGTTCTACACCAGTAAGGGATTAGGCCCCTGGGCATATAATCTAAATAACAAAACGATCGACGAGTACTTCGTTTACGGAGCGGAACGTGCGAAGCCCTATGCGCGCAATAGTTTATGGACCATGGGTATGCGGGGATCTGGCGACACGGCTATTGAAGGCCTGGGCGTCGAAGTGATCGTTGAGATGTTAGAGACTCTTGTTCACAATCAACGGGCTATCATCGAAGACGTGTTAGATATCCAAGCCACCGAAGCACCTCAGCTATGGTGCCTATACAAAGAAGTTATGTCATATATCCTCCAAGGCCTTACGATTCCGGAGGATATTACCCTTCTATGGGCGGATGACAATTGGGGTAATGTTCGAAGAGTGCCTATCGACAACGAGACGACACGAGCTGGAGGAGCTGGTGTATATTATCACTTTGACTACGTTGGAGATACCAGAAATTACAAATGGATAAACACCATCCAACTGGAAAAGACTGCAGAGCAGATGCAGCTTGCATATTCCCACGGTGCTGATAGGATATGGATCGTTAACGTTGGAGACCTAAAACCTTTAGAAATCCCACTCAGTCACTTCTTAGACATGGCATATGACATCAATCAGTGGGATGTAGACGGAGTGGCCAACTGGACACTTGCATGGGCAGCTCGCGAATTCGGACCAGAGCATGCTACAGCTATCACGGAGATCATGACACGATTCGGCATGTTTGCCGCAAGAAGGAAATTCGAATTGGTGGAACCATACGTATATTCGGTCGTCAATTATAACGAAGGCGATGCGGTATTGGGTCAATGGCAAGGTCTGGCTGATGATGCGCAAGCCATCTACGAGCAGTTGGACGAAGCCCACCAGCCGGCGTTCTTTGAGATGGTTCTGCATCCTATTCTCGGTGGCCAAATCGTTCACCAGGTTCATATTGGTGCGGAAAAGAATATGGTTTATGCAAACCAGCACCGAAACGCGGCGAACGATCTTATTACCCAGGTCCTATCTAGCTTTAATGCCGACGGTAGTCTTACGGCAAGATGGGATAGCCTATTAGATGGGAAGTGGAAGCGTATGCTGGATCGTAAGTCGAGTCACCTTAAATTGCTCAGATGTTCTTGACTAATTCTATAGAAACTCACTTTGGATATGACGGTTACTGGCAGCAGCCGATGCGGAATGTCCTTCCGGCCATGGCTTACGTCCAGACTGCAGTATCTTCGATAGCAGGTAACGTTGGCATTGCTGTAGAGGG